CCTCATTCTTTTGTGAGCCAACTGTTTTGAATCTGCTGCGCGGCCCAGTCTCGCGGAGGAGAGTGCTTTTGTTTTAACATGGCGGGTGGCAATGGGTGTTCCGGGGCGTAGACGCAGTAGAATAACCTATAGACACACATAGCGACACCTATACATGTTGTTTGAGAACATTCCGGGAAATAGAAAATATCCAGTTTAGCATTTCTGTCATACCAATCACTGAAATACAGGCGGTCCTCGGCTTGCGGATGATCCGGCTTATGGCGTTCCATACTTAAAAATCGGCTCCCAAGGATCTTCAAAAAATAATTTATAGTAAAATGCAATAAACACGTGTTTATAAGAACTTCCAATTTACGACTTAAGTGTTTTTGCAAACTGTTGAATTACTGAAATAAAAGAGGTTCCCTGAATTGCAAATGATCTGGTTTACGACATTCTATACTTAAAAGTGGGCTTCCAAGGCTCTTGGTAAAAATAATTTATAATAAAATGCAATAAACACGTGTTTATAAGAACTTCCAATTTACGACTTACTGAATTACGACTTACTTGAATTACTGAAATAAAGGAGGTTCCCTGAATTGCAAATGATCTGGTTTATGGCGTTCCATACTTAAAAACGGGATCCCTAGGCTCTTCGTAAAAATAATTCATAATACAATGCAGCAGACACGTATTTACAAGAACCTCTAATTTATGAATCGTGTTTTTACGAACTCTCACTTTGGTCACGAAAAACTTACGGATTTTTAATGCCATTCTTTATAAACTTCAGATTAACAAATCTTTTTACTTCCTTGTACCAAGCAAAGGCAATATTGTAATCGCGAAATATTTTAGATATCATATCTCAACGGATATATCCACTTTGATCCATCCTGAATCCATTTTGAAATTTCCCTCCCCCTTGACGTTATCCAGGATTTTTTGTATGATGCCTGTACTTACTGACAGAAGAAAGGACACTTTTTTTCCCAAAACGGATTGTAAAATGGACATTTTCGTGATGTATGTACGTACGTAGGTATGTATGTATCTCACATAACTCAAAAACAATTTAGCCGTAGAACGTTGGAATTTTGTATATTGGACTGCTGAAACATTTAATTGGGTACCTCCCTTTTTTATTGCAATCGGAAGCACCACAACCCGGCCTTCATTTTCGCAATCGTTGGCCGTAGTCATATACAGAACGTTACAGAAGTGTTTGACATTACGAAAATAATCATGTTTCGGCAATGTCAAATAAAACAAAGGAAAAAAAATCGAAAAAAAAAGAAATCTAACTTTAAATGAAGTCTCCCGGTTCGTATACTTATAGTTGGGAAGTTATGAAAAGTTTGACTCTCGTATAACAAAATCTGACTGGGATATTTAATTTCAAAATTTGCAGTTTTTGATGTCATTTTCAACCTGCCTTGAGGGATCGGGTAATTAAGTTACAATAATTCGAGGAAATAAGTTAAAATGAAGTGCAGCAAAAAGTCTGTAGAAGTTAATACGTCGTACAAAGAAGTCATGTGGGATTCACACTAGATTTTTTTTTTAACACTTTCTATAAGTTTGTGAAATTTAGGGTCTGCAGTAATTAAATAAAACTACAGTAATTCATTACTTCCGTTATGTCAAAAGAAACAGACTCTTGAATCTATGGTTAACAGAATCAAATCAAATTCCTTACCTTGAGAGGTCCATACAAATAGTCAGCTCTCGTTGGAACTATGACTTACTTAAAATAAGAGTAAAGAGAAAAAAAAAAAAAAAAACACTTTTGGGTAAAATTTTGACGTTGGGCTTATGAATTCCTTCTATGGAGAATGTAGGAAAGAGGCAAGCGGAAACATCATTGGTCTTGTTGCACATATGCCGTACGAAATGGAGATATAAATTTCAGATAGGAGAAAAAACAAAGTTGCATATAAAAAATAGGATTCAGAATCTATGATTGAAAGAAAAGAGTACAATGCCAAGTGAATCTGTGTGCACATCTGCAGCCATAAAATGAATATTCATTCAATAGTAGAATTAAATATTAATTCTATACCTCTTCCAACTCTTTCGATTAAGGTTAGCTTATCATCCTGCCTTGAAAAATGTCGTATCCAGTAAATATGACAGCAATACTACACAAGGTTAGCTTTATAGATAACATGAATATTAAAATCCTCTTCCAATATCCTATTGAATTTTTCGTACGAGTTTGTTTTCACGTTACACTCTACGCAGTATTAGTATTACCACGTTTTCATTAGAACTGATATCATTACTATTATTATTCTCATAATCTCTACCCCCAGTTCATCGTTATCAAAAGTATCTCATTTATAAGACGGACATTCCTGTACTTAGCACTAAATAAAAGCAAATACAACATAAATTACAATATCCGAGGTAATACGGAAGGACCACTGCTATTTCAAGTAAAAATTTTTTTGCTGATATAAAAATATTTAGTTCATTTATATATGTTCTGCAGTCTTGATTTTCATTATGATTCACATTCAAAGGTCCTACACTATATGATACAGACATATGCCATTTTTCACATTAGGTTTCACATTACTGGTGAAGAATAATTTGAAAATATTTTTGTTGTACACTCGACGCTCGTTATAATGACCAGTACAAAAAAAATGTATATTATTACGTTATATTTTAATATGACTGGTTTTCTCCCTATTAAGTTAAATGATAAAAAGTAGTAAATGAAGGTTATGTAAAACTGGATTTTTTCGTTTTCTCGAATTTTCTTAAAAAATGTTCTTCGCCGATTTTCCGTGTCATTTCGACCTCTTGTATCTATACCCCAATGCTTAGCATACGCCTTCAACTAAATGTCGGCAGGGGGGGGGAACATTCTGTTCAACTTTTTTTTTTTAAGCGTTGTTTCGATGACATTTACATCATCTATACGAGAAAATTCCATACGAAATTATTATGCATTTCTAACGTCGTTTAATATGTCAACTGCAACATTCCGCATTAAATTCCGCTTTTGGTATACATTATCATTTGCGTCAAAAATAAAATCTAACGGCATTTAGGAAATTTATAACAACATGTAGACTGCAAACTTCTAAAAATATTTTTTAAAAATTTTATTTAAATGATAATATTCCTTTTGCCTTTTTAAAAATTTTTTTAAACAATTTCCAATTAAAAAGAAAAAGAAAGAAACAAACGCTGATGCTTTTAAGTTTTAATATTAATTTTAAGTTTAATTTCATTTGATAATACATATTTAATTTATCAGTTGGCGACAGAATGTATAATATTTAAGAAAAGAAAAATACTATTCGTATCTCTTAATTTTAATTTTTTTATTTTTATTTTTATAGTTTTAACGGTAAAATACGTTTTCACATTTTAAATTATAATCGGAAGTTTTCAAATTGCCAGTTTTTTTAAAATTATTTATCCATGTTTTATTCTGCCATTAACTGTTGTAAAGCTTCGGATATACACATTTTTTAATAACTCTTCTTACAATTTCCATTTCAAATGCTCAGTCAAATGATGCATTCCTCTCTGCCAGATTGTTTTACATATGCAATCACATAAATTTGATGTAGTAGAAATGAAGCCAGAGAGGCTAAAGGGAATATCACTACGAAACTCTTGTATGAGCTGGTCTCTAATATTTGCATTTTTAAAGTAGCGACATGCAGCAAGAGGCTAGGTCATTAGAATATTCTGGCTTTACATGATTCCCCGTCTCTTGATCAACTATTTGAAATGCATCTGGAGAGCTGCACTTTCTCTTTTTTCCCAAAGTAAGCTTCTAATAGAGTTAAAACGTATGTGAGCTCGCTACCGGCTAGGTAATAAAATCGCTGGCTTGCTAAACACTAGCAGTTCGATAGGGATTCAAATCTTGGGAAACGAGCTGAGTGCATGAGAGATTTCGTAGTTTCCCCCATGCGTAACGTGGTTAGAAACAGTTCCCTTATAAAATCTTCCACAAAGGCATCTCTCCCTTTGATGGATGCCACTGTGTGCATCGCCAAAATCTACAGGAAAATGTATGCCAGTTCGTATGATATGATTATCTTCAAATTCTTTATGTAAGGAAAGCTGAAATTTAAATATTATTCTATACAAATTCCTTGCCATTAAAATTTGGAAATATTACAAGAAAACCGTTGTTTTTAAGTAACTTAAAGTAACTAAAATTTCCCAACTTCAAAGCATACATTTTATGAATAAATTACCACATCATGTACTATCTACAATATCGAGTTGGCCAATCCATTGCTGTGCGCTTCTGAAGGCGTTCGCGAGCTAATCACCCATTACAATGCTAAGTTTTTGTTGTACATTTTTTATCGGTACATTGCCACGCTGCCCACAGGAATACACGTAAGTCACTTTTCCGGTAATATTATGCAGCTTTAATGTCATTTTCACGCATCATTTACTGAAGCTCTAATTTTGTCATATAATTCTGAGTCTACACATGCATACATGAACACAAAACTATTACGCTATTTTGGGGATTTAGAATTAAAATATTTCAGAATGAACAATATAACTAAATAGAATAAAACAAATCAAGTTTCTATACCAAAGCAAGTAATATAAATTTCTTTAAACGAAACTCAACCGAACTCATTTTGCTACTTTGCAAGGCACTTTCCATACATCAATCTACCTTAGCGTTGGCTTATGTACTTACGAAGTTTCCGTTATTCCTCTCGAACTATTTATTCATAAAATTCATGTCTAATTTTATCATTTATTTTCACATCATTTATATCATTCACACCCTTCAGTTTCACATAATTCATATCTTCAAATATGTGAATAAAGTTCAATTACCTCAAAGATTTAACTTATGCGTGTTCTCTCACACCATGTTCTAAACGACAGTAAAAAATATTTTTTCAGAGTTTTATTTATGTTTTAATTCTGTTGCCTTCAGTATGGTCCAGTATTCTAAAACTGGAAATCTACTATTTTATAAATGAGGTCTCATAATGTATGAATAATAAACTTACCCAATGAGCGTTGTAGTATCCGACACTTAAGGTAAATCTTGCTGCGAAGATATGAATTAGTAGATTACAAGTTCACAGTTTCTGGGTTTAAATTCCTTAAAACAGCCGTCCTTAGTGTACTTAAATGCAAAGTCTGTTTACAAAGTTCCAAAACGATTTAATATCGATTTTTTAAAAACTTGATATCGATGTAGCTGAAGAAGTCAATATTATTTAATAATCGAAAATTTCGAACCGTTTCAGATATTCTATACAATAGATTTAGTTCTCAATCCTACTTCGAAGAGACCGTTTCAGTAGCACCTGCCGCCTGACTCCGGACCTAACACGAACGCAACGTTCCAGCAGGTCGAACGAAGACGAAATGTACCGAGCGGCGTCGTGCTCGTAAACAGGGATGGCGCGATTCAGAGATCACTGCACTCAGAAGAGGGGAGGCGGAAAGAAAAAGCCCAACGGAACAAGAGGCGGTTCTAACGGGGGGAAAAAAGTCGTTTTAGTAAGTTCCATGCACGAAAATAAACCAGAGTGTAAACAGAATCGTTGATTTTAATCAATATGGTGAAGCGTATTAACGGGTTTTATTTATGGTTAGGGTGAGGAGAGAAGTGTGCCTGACCTCATCTAACCCGGTTAGAGCGGTGGTGTGAATCGTTTTCTTTTGTGTGGACATCGATCTCCAGTTGAACGAGGAAGAGACCAAAATAAAAACCAAGATTTAAATTTTTTTTAAATTCAATTCTGATCACAATCAGCAACAACGTTTCCACTTTCAGTTAACTATTAATGTTTCATTACAATAATCTGTTAACAGTTAACTTTACTGAAATTTTAAGTTCCTATCATTTATCTTACATGCATTCGAAGTTACCTAAATTTTCACTAGTTGGGATTATTTGTATTTTCTAAGAAACTGAGGAAATTTAGGTCATATCCAATAAAAAAATAAATTAAAAAAAATCCGCAGTAAAATATGTAAAAAATACATATGTCAATTAGAAAATATCTGAAATATACGCATTATGCAATGATGAAAGCTAAGTGTCTTAAGAAAGTACTTATCTTCGTCTCTCTTATGAAATAACAAACGGATATAAACGTTATGAAATCATGAATAATTTTTTTTCTCTGAGAACAAAATCTTTAAAATCAGATTAATACTTACTAATCAAATCTAAGTTCAAATTACAATACGATAACCTTAACAGCAACAAAGGTTACTAAATACGCTTATAATAAGCCCTCAAATTAGTGAAATTTCGTATTTTTGTACGCGTAATCAAATATAGAACAAAAAAATTATTATCCGATTTTGACGATTGCCTTAAAAATAAAATGTTACTGGTTTTTAGATTAAAAAAAAAGGGACATAAATTAAAAAAGTATTTTCCAAAGCCAAGTGATTAGATATTCTCACTACTGGCATTAGAAATTTATTCTAAGAACCGGAAGGCAATACGAATATTATTACATAATACATTATTAAATAATTTTGTGTATTTTATAATAAAAAGGGAGTGAATCACACTCATTGAAATGGCAAACTTAACAATACTCTGTGCTTAGTTTTATAAGATATTTAAATTTTAATATGCATAAATTTCTGCTTGTAATATTTAAAATTTGTAAGTAAACAGATTCATAGTAAAAATTCGGAGAAAAATACAGAATTTGATAGAATTCAAAGACGTTAATTAAAAATGCCTTTTTATTTTTGAAGCTTCCTTATCTCTAATGTAAAGTTTATTTGATTAAAAGCATTCTTTATTAGCATCTTCCTTGCAACAACCGCTGAATTATTTTACAATGTTTTGGATACATAAATATTTTATTGAACTAGCATGCTTCTCTGTTTTCATATATCTTCAAAGTATGTGCAGTCTTTTCTCTCCTCTTTCTCTTCCGTCGGAAATTTGCCGTGCTTCTTTGCATGCGTTAAAATTCTTTCTTGCTCACTAGGCAGATGGTCCTCGAGTTCTTTACCATAATTAAATAAACCAAAGAAAATCAAATCTTTATTACATACTTTTAAATTTGAGGAGGGGATTATTTATATTCTATTCTTTTATTTGTGTGCTAGTTGTTTTGAAAATCATTGCCTTTCTTCGATTCCGAGTAAGTGAGAATTTTCCTCCGAACTCTTTCACAGTGTTTTACTTTCTAAATTTGATGGTAGAAACTGTTATCTTTAACTAGTTTTATTGCATCAGCAGTATTTTGCTTAAGCAGTATTTTAAAACTTTGCTTGAAAATTAATGAGACGCAGTTTCTTCTTCACTATTCTTTTTCCAAATCAGTATTAGGGTCATTTATAAGTTACATAATTTATATTCGCGTTTGCGAATTCACACTCAGTCGTAAATAAAGACGATTTAAAAAAGTTCATTAGCACAGTTCTTCATTAAAGAGCAAAAGAAATGCTAATTTTCGAGCTGATTATCCATCCAACCGTTAAAGTATACATTCAAAAATATTTATCCTAATACTTTTCAGGACGTATATGTGCGTGCATCTTGAATTCAGCTCAGTTTATTAAGGTAACACGCATGAGACTGGAAGAGACTAGGAACAAGATGACACGTGCGTAACGAATTATAAGCGTGAAAATGTGACTTACTCTCTGGCGTTCCAGGAACATAATTTAGACAGAATTTTCAAACGTACGAAAGTCTGTAATTTCATTGCAAACATTTAAAAATAACGTTTGGCTACTAAGCATTTGTGATTCGAAAATGTAAGGCTGTACGTTCGTTTGCTTGCCTCGGATTATTTTGCCCAAACGATAATATAACTACTGATTGATACAGGCATTTTAATCACTCTAAAAGTTCAAGTAGCAACCGAATGGTAGGGACAATAGTAAATAATTTCATTTCATCATTCAGGTTACCATAAAGAACTTTAGAATATAAGCACATTATTTTCACAAGATGAAAATTGAAATATTTGATTTAGTATAATGCTAATGGCAAAAAACCCCACGAACCTAACTTCTATATAACAATCTATACAAAGACTGAAGTAACAAACCTGATGTGAACACCACATGACTTAATTGTACGGCCTATTAAGTTATACACATTTTTCCTGCATTTCATTTAAATGAATTTACTCGAATTTCATTATAAATATATTTTTCATTCAATTAATTCAGTTCTCCCTTCGGGGCCTGGCAAAAATACATAAAACTCAAAACATCTTCATTAAAAATTGTAAAATACAGAACAACATAAAACACCAAATACCGTTAAAACAGTTAATTCTTAGGTTGCGTGGGGCCCGAGGCTAACAGTTTGAGACTACTGACCTAATTATTCAAGATGTAACTGCGTGTTTTTTAATTGACTCGCTTGTGCACTATGCTTACAATAAATATTTCCCATATGTAAAAGAGCAACATTTCTCATTTTGCAAAGTACGAAATTCGTGTAGTAAAAACATTAACATCTTTTCGAAGTGTTGAAAATATTCTTTCACAACAGCAGAAAAAGGAAAATAGATAAACAAACCAAAAATAAAATAAAATAAAATGTTTTTTTAAGTATGCTTATCTAGAATTTAAGTATGTAGACTTCTCTTGCTATTTTCGCTTTTAGCAATATCGATAGTTATGTTATTTGATATAAATGCAAAATAATTCTGAAAGTCATTAGCGGCTGAGGAAATGAATCAATTATGACTTGTAATGCAAGGACTCATCCTTTCCACACGCTAGATTACTTTCACCGTTGGTAGTTCCTGACTTACGATAAATTGATTTACTGTTTGGCTGCTTGCTGATTGTTAGACAGTCCTAAGCCGTATGAGCCCTAATTCGAATTTTGAATTTGCGCTGTTTTGAGGCCTAACAGTAGATGTTCTGTATGATATGTTATTGCAGATGAGAAAAGCGACTAACAGGCAAAACCAGGATGATTGTGCTTGTTGTACAGAAGTACTACATAATGAAAAGAAGAAACACTGCACATTCAAAACCCGATTATCTTCCTCAACAGCGCTATGCATCGTAAGCCACCCAAAAGGAACGATTACCTCAAGTAAGGAATGAATCTTATGCTCTTGTTTACTATAACATCTTTCCATTCAATAATTAATTTCCATACTTCAAGCATTAGCATTGAAGTTTACATGCGTACATTAATGACGAATATCTCTGCAGCCATACAGCCCTTTTTCAATATAATATTCTACAAATGATTCAGTTCGAAAATTACATGCGATGCTTAAGGCTTCATTATAAAATAAGCTTTTACTTTAAATAATTTTGGTACGTATCGTCTAATATAAGATTTTCAACCATATTTAAGGCATATAGTCTAAGCTACGTTATTCTACGTTAAGATAACGCATTTTAGGTGTAATATTCTACTGAAACGATATTTTCATTTCAACGATAGATTTATCAGAATACAATTTTATTATAGCTTTGGCAGCTTCGTTAAAGCGCAGAATCAAAGAAGCACCTATAATTTTTTTTTTTTAATCATCGAAAAAAATCAGCCAATTTGTTTTCAATAAACGAATTACCATTGAATACCTACCTATACCATCATTTAGAACGTTCTTATAAACTTTCTGGAAGTAAAAAAGATTAGATAAAGTAGGCCAAAAACGTCAGAAATATTCTCAAGTAGTGGAATAGGGACCCCATTCTTCCCTGTTATCGGCTGCGAATAAAATAATTTCTTGAAGCCAAACAATGATTGTTATGATGATCAAATGTCAGATTCCCAGTTTTTAGCTTTGATATCTTTCTGGAATATGATGCTTTTGCTCGCAAGCGATTGTTAATCACAAGCTGTTAAAACAGAAATCCAGACTCCAAAAACCGAGCGCAATGCATTCTGAAGTCATGCGTAACTTGAGGGGGGATACAAAAGTTGTCAAAGATCTGGGTTCTTTCTCTCACGAAATAAAAAAGAAAAAAGGAACTTTTGTCTAGAAAATGATTTTTCCCGTTCACCATCACCGGCAGGTAACGCAAACATCGAAAGTGGATTTTGGGGCAGATTCCTGTTAGTGTTAAGATTCATTGAACCGACGGGACTATTTCCTGATGAATGTTGGCAACATTTCAAAAACGTGTTTTCGCATGATGGCTGGATGTTATTTGAAGCGACAGAACAAACAACCTCATCAACGCTGAAAGAAATACTTTCTTTTTTAAATTATTATTTTTAAAAAGCGTCTCCGTAGACAAAAGTGAATGTCGAGCTGCTAATAATTTCAGCTGTGATAACAGCTTTATTAGTTAAAGCACCATGTAGTAACTTTTAGAAATTTTTTGTATTCTTAATGTAATTGTCAGATAACGAAATTCAGCACTGATAAGCAGTTAGCAAATGTATTAATTGTCAAATAACAAAATTCATATTTAAGGAAATTCAGTACTG